TGGCATTAAATCTGTATATTGCTTTTGGCAGGATGGCCATTTTGATGATGTTAATTCTCCCGATCCATGAGCAGGGGATGTCTTTCCATTTCATGGTGTCTTCTTGTATTTCTTTTAACAGTGTTTTGTAATTTTCTTTGTAGAGGTCTTTTACCTCCTTTCTTAGGTTGACTCCCAGGTATTTGATTCTTTTCTGTTTTAATTTAAAAGGGGATTTTTTTTAATCTCTGTTTCTTCTGATTAGTTGTGTATAGGAAAGCCTCTGACTTTTGTGTGTTGATTTTATATCCTGCTACCTTCCAGCAAGACAATTTTAAATTGAGCTCTATTTACAACTAAATGTTTAATTTTTTAAAAATCATCTCTCAAATCACACTTTGTGTGGTACTATTTTATAACTGGTAGAAGAAAGCTAAGGGATCTAAAATTTTCTTCATAATATGGTTTTCATTCATTAGCTCTCAGGTTTTGATTTGGCATAATGCTGGAAGAATTTCCTTTGTTTGTTCAAATGGCCAGTATATGAACTATCAAGCCTCAACCCTGAAACAGCCCTGATGTGAATCAAAGACTGCTGAGAAAAGAGTCAGTTGGGAAGCATCTGACAGTGAAAGGCTGGTGACATGAGTAAACAGAGTTAGTTCGGGAATAAGAACTGCAGGCTGGGCGGGTCTGTTTGTTTGAGTTGATAGCCTCTCCCTAACTCTTTCATTAAACACCCAACTAACCTTCAATTGCCCTCTCAGAACTTAATGTCAATTCAGTTTCCAGAATTTCAAAATCATCAAATACACAAAGGCACTACACAGAAAGGGGATATTTTGTTCAATGTTAAAAGACTAACTTATGTGACAAAATTCTACAAATGCCCCCAGATGGGAAGCAGGATAAATTTAGAGATCCCTAACATTATTTGACTGTATTCATAAGGTGGGACACAACTTTAAAAATAAAATGTTACCGTCCAAAAATTTGGGTAATTCAGAGTACAGAAAAATTGGCAAGCTATTTCTGATAAAGTAATCCTTAACCTGCCAGGAAAACATGATTTCAGAGTTTCTAGAATACTAGTTCATACATGAACTCTAATCAGCAATAAAGTTTACGTACCATGAACTCTAATCAGCAATAAAGTTTACGTACATATCTTTTCTAAATTCCCCCTTGGGGAAATTCCATTGGTAAGGGCATGTTTTTAGCCAGTCCAGTCACAATGCCCCAGCATTTCTCAAAGTGTTCTCCTCTTTGCCTTGAACACCTGAAGATTCCTGGGTCCCTCTCCAGATCTATTCAATGGGAGTCCAAAGACACAGAGTCCAGAAATTTGAGCTATAAAAGATAATTTTTTTCCAGTGTTTATCAGTTCAATTTATATTCTCAACTGATTCTTCCAGTTCCAATCTTCCTCACAATTTTCCATTCAAAGATGGGATTGATGTTGGATATAAGTTTTATTCTCAGCAGGCATATCGACTTTTTTGTGTTTTTAGAGAAGTGACTCTGGTTTACAACACTGTATATGACTTAAGGTTACAGGATACACCTCTTCAAATGTGTGTTACCACAATCAAGGCACCAAAAATCCTTCACCACTGTCCATCTGGCCTCCTACCCCTTTACTCTTCTCTGACCCTACCTCCCCACTCCCTCACACCTTTCTTCTGATAGCTTCCATTATTCAGATTTCTAGGGTTTGTTTTGGTTTGGTTTGGTTTATTCCTTTGTTTTGTTTCTTTATATTCCACATAGGAGTGAAATCTGCTATTTGTCTTTCTCATTCTCATTTACTTTACGTAGAATAATCTCCTCTAATTCCATCCATGTTCTCACAAATGCCAAGATTTCATCTTTTTTATAACTAATCAGTATTCTATTGTGTGCATATGCCATATCATTTCTACACTCACCTGTCATTGAACATTAATGCTGTTTCCATAACTTGGCTATTACAAACATTGCTATAATCAACATAAGGTACATAAACCTCTTCAAATTAGTGTTTTTGCATTTTTCTGGTAGATATGTAGGAATGGAATTACTGAATCATATGTTAGATCTATATTAATATTTTGAGAGACCTCCATACTTTTTTTCATAGGGGTGAACAAGTCTATAGTCCCACCAACAGTATATGTGGGTTCTTTTGACACCAAATCATTGGCAACACCTGTTTCTTGTCTTTTTGATTTGGACCATTCTCACAGGCATGAGATAGTATTTTACTGTAGCTCATTTGCATTTCCTTGATAAGTGATGATGAACATTTTTTCATGTGCCTATTGGTCTCTGTATGTATGTTTTCCTTGTATAAGCAGCTAGTTTTACACAGAACTCATAAAAATTACCAAAACTGGAAAACAACCTAGTAACAAAATGTACAGAAGAGCAGGCCTGGGTTACATAATGAGCTACATAAACCACTTAAAAACTTCAACCAATACCTTTGCTAACTGGTTACAAATGGCAAAGGGATCCAATAAGAGTACAATTTTAGAGGATAATTACAAGCCAACTGTTTTAAATTCCCAATTTTCATTTACTTTTCTTTCTTTAAATCTTTGTCACTTTTCTTGCTGTTATTATTTGTTCACCTTTTCTTTCCTTTTGGATTTCCTCCAGGTACTGAGTATTAGGACTAGCTGTGGGTGACAAGAAACAATCATGATGATGCCACAAACGTGAAATTGTATTTTCCAAAACAATTATGTTGTAGTATATGAGCCCCACATTTTCTAATCTTGGTTATGCTTTCCTTATTTAAATCTAAATAAAGGAATAGTTTATATACTAGTAATATCTTCTGTAAAAACCTCCTTTGACCCTAAGTTTATAGCATTATCAAATACCTAGCTTTATTTTTTCAGAGAACCAACTATTTAAAAATTATGCTTCATGTGAGGAAAAGTGAAGCAAAAAAGTACATCACATCTAATGGAAAGACTGTGTGATTGATGAGAAGAGAGGGCCCTGCAGATAGATTACGTCCTAATTTATCATTCAAATAATACCAGGGAAATTTATATGCCTATATTTAGATTTCTTCCTCAAATAATATAGGATTCAAAACAATTCTCATTTTACAGAATAAAAATAAGGTTTAAAGGAAACCCATGTATGATTTGGTTACCAATTAAACATTTTTAATGCCTGATAATGCTAAAAAAAAAGTCAGAACTTATTTCTTAATCTTTTTATTTTATATTTTGTGTTTTTTTAAAAGATTGGATTTCTTCTCCCTTCCTTAAAATTTAAGATTATGTTTGTGCACATTTCCCTCTATCAAATGTGAAAAGTCATGCCTGCATTCAGATGACACTGTTGCCATCAACTGGTTAGAAAGAAATACTGCAAACAAAAATCTAGGCTTCTGTCACTGCATCATGATTAAAGCTCTGTGCAAGTAGCAGGTGAATTCCACCTGTGAATCAAGAACAAAACATTTTCTTCATCCTTGTTGACATAAACTAGGAAATGCCTCTTTGACCTAAACCAACAACTGTTGACATAAACTAGGAAATGCCTCTTTGACCTAAACCAACAACTGTCCTTTCCTCTATCTTCTACCCTGATTTAGCTGATGGCTCACAATTGACAATTTAAAAATCTTGGGCTCTCTCTCCCTATCAATAATGTCATTTCCTGCACTTATAGTTAAATACCTGGAGGGAAATCTGAGACCTGAAATGCAGAATGAAAACTGGCAAACTACCTACAAGGCACTATCAAAATATATTCACTTTTTTACGTGTTTTTAATCTTTATAGCCCTAGTAGCATATCAATATCTTTGTTTTACAGATTAGGAAGATGAGGTTCATTTTGATTCAGTAACCTTGGAAAGGCATCCAGTTCAGGAGCCTTGGGATAGGCTTCACACCCAGGAATGAGTCAGGCTCTCTCCACCACCTGTCATGTCCTGCCTTCACATCCCATCTCTGTTTTGTATCTTTCTGCTTCACTCCCTATAGAGTTGTATTTCCTATCCCAAAATGCCTGTCCCAGCACATTTGAATCACCCAGGGAGGTCTTTGCAAATATGAATACTGAGCTTACCTCCAAATCAATTATAACCAAAATTATAAAAGCAGAGCTCTAGCATCTCATTCCTCTCATTACGCAAATGACTTGCAATTTAAGAGGTAAGGGCCACTGGCTTAAATACATATTTAAAATTTTTCCCATTGACTTGAAATTTAATCAGGAATCTATCTTACTATATGCTATCTAATTAACACTGTTTCTCTCTTTTAATAACAGGTGGATGAGATATTTATACATTCGACCCTGAACAAACATTATATCAAGAACCAAGTAATCAGACTGACGTATGTATGTTTTGGCAAAGGTGGAGTCACAAATCTTTAAGAACAATGGGCAGAGACAGGATCACTTAAATCTTGTGTGGTTCTGTGAGCTACTGTCATGGCTCAGGTTCTCATATACATCACTTTACAAGAGTCCCAATATATAAGTCTGACCATCATTTTGTAAATGAAAAAAAAAAAAAAGACTTGGGGAGGAGGTTTTGGGGTATGCTCACAGTTCTCCAAGTGTAATTTTCCCCAAATGATGACCAGGATTCAAGCCTCATCAATTGATTGTAAAGCCCATGGCATAGAGCTGACTGTCAGGAACCTGTAGCCTTGCAAAACCAAGGAACAAGTCACTGCAATCCCCAAGTTATATTCTTTTGACAGATGTTCTTTCAGAAATATTTAGAAGGCAAATTTGACTACAAAATGCAATCATATGTTTTACCTGTAATAAAGCCTTAGTGAAAAGAGACATCCAAAAAGGTGCTCTTATTTTAATAAATTTTCTTTTTGTGTGGTAGAAGGGGTAGGCTTATCAATTGCAGAAACTGCTCAGAGGTTTCCACTGTTATTTGTTAAGCACACAGCATAAAGCATACAAAATAGGCAAAAACCTATAGGTCCATATGACTTATTTCCTTAGATATATTCTGACTTAGATTGGCAGAAACCATAATCATTTTTATCACTAACAGAACAAAGGCATACTGGCAGATTTCACCAATTTCCTTACATATTTACTAATTAATAACCTTCATTAATTAGTATAACCTCCACAGGGTTTACAGATATTATAAATTCCATAATGTTTGAGATAAAAGGTATATGTATATTGAATATTTCTAGATATCATAACCACTGTTTGCAAATTCTGATTTGACATAGCATTCTAGCATTAATATCATTGACTAATTAATGCCTTTGGATTTACAAGTTTATCAATAGGATTTTGTATAGATCCAAGGAAATTCTATATAATACAAATAATGCTTTTTTCTAAGTTAAAAAGGAAAATTACCTAATCATGTTAAGTTGATGAAAAATTCTGAGTATTTATATTTTCACATTCCAGAGCCTGAATCACATTATTTAAAATGCCTCAAAATTGCTATTTCCTCTCCTTTTAGTCAAAGAAATCAGAAAAATAAGCCTTCGTTGCTATTTAGAGTTGGATCTTTTGAAGTACAAAGACACAAGGTAGATCAATGGCTAGGTTTTGACTTTGTAAAGACTTTTCATTATTGGATTCACTACTTTCAAAGTATATAAAAATTCAATTCCACAGTTGAGGAGACTTGAAACTGTTATATGAAAAAGGTCAAGGAAATGGTCAGGTTTAATCTGGAGAAAACTTAGGGACTACATTATTATTGTCTTCAAATTCTTTATGTGAAAGAGAAACCTGACCTCTTATGTATGTCCCAACTACAAGACCTAAGTCTAAAGAAATTGATGGTAAAGGGGAGAGACATTTCAAATCAAAGTGAGAAATTCATGTAAAATAAGAGTAAAAATAAAAAAATCAGAGTAGACCAGAAAGAAATATGCATCTATAGGGGAGAAACTTTTTTTCCATCATTTTAATTCCTGAACTAGACTTAGAAGTTCACTTGCCATGAATGTCATGCTTCACTATCAAATACATGTGATTAGTCAAAGTTTCTTTCAATCCTCAAAGTTGGTGACTTTGTTATAATTGTTTGAAATCCAAGTCTTCACTGCTATAAAAAATCCAAGTTAATTTGGACTATGCATTCAAAGCAATGAAATATTGAAGAGAACGTGTGGCCTGTCATTGGGTCAGAGATTCACACAGAAGAGTGCCGTAGCTCTTGACATGGTCAGCACTTGAGGTATAATCAGGGGAAGAGAATAGAGTAAGGAATATAAGCTCATACTAGATGTGTTGTTTGAGTAAGCAGATTTCTCTTGTGTGTCATAGTCCAGAGAAAGATGGTGTGAAAGCAGATGTCATTATGATTTTCCAGTTCCCTTCTGCTGGGCGAAGGGCAGTAAGAAAGAAGAAAATACATCACATCTTAAATCAAAAGATAAGGAACACAAGAGCCTTGTCAATAAGTGCTTCATCCCTTCAAGTTAATGGTAAGTATCTTACTAAGTGATGAGAAATTCTGCACCAGGTAGCTTTAAGGTCTAATTGTAAACTTACTTGTTATTTCTATTCCAAGTAATAGCTATAATACATATGGAAAGAGATTTTCAGGCTATGAAAGTGACATTTAGAGGTTTTTTAATTCTCTAATGAAAGCATGTCTGGAGTTAGTCAATAGTATTGCCAATTGTGATTAGCACGCCTCCCAAAATAAAGACAAATCTTATCAATAATAGAAAGTTAATCTGACCAATGCCTCCACTACTAAGCCAGTGAAAATACCAGGTATTTCACAACAACTATATTTCTAAGTGGAACCATCATAAAACATGAACTCATTTTTGGTCTTTTAAAAGTATGTATGTTCTGGGCCCTCCCTGGTGGCGCAGCGGGTTAACGCACAGCACTGAGAGGCTAAGGCCACTTCCGCATGAGTTCAATTCCCGCCTGCCCCGGAGGTGACCATATGGTGTGGCAGACCACTCCTGACCTGCCCACTGCTCCCCTCAGCAGTGTACTTCATCGACCTGCCTGTTCTGTTCCCCACTCTATTGTGAAGCCTCTGACCACCCCTGACCTCTGGCCTGTACTCCAGTTCTGTATGCACAAATAAATGAATCTTAAAAAAAAAAAAGTATGTATGTTCTAATTATAATGAAATTATTAAATTTTGTTACTTTTTTCCCCCAATGGACAGTTCAAAAAGTGGTAAACTCTGAAGACATGAAAGTCTTCCTATAAATAATGTTTCAAAAATCACTGAGCTAGAGAATAATTAAAATCACTTTACATTTCTTCATTTTCACATTTTTGGTTAGTTCATTACACCATCATTACCATAATCGCTTCTCTAAAAGGAGAACCAACCTCTAGCAATGCCCTTCTCTATGCCCTTTACAAAAGAACCTCATTTCTGGGATGCATGCAAGCTCACCTCTATAAATATTAAAGAAGAGCAAAAAACATTTAGGACTGTAATAATTAGGAGGAACTATGATTAAAATCTCCATCTTGAATTTCTTGAGAAGCTCTCTGCAAAAAGGACCTGTACAAATACAGTTTAGAAATTCCACCTACAACATTTCTCTTGGGAATCCATCCCTTATATAAGCATGTTAAAGACTTTGAGGAGTCCAATTTGACAAACACCTATTAGTCTTGTTCATTTGTCTGCTTCCGCAAGCAATTACTTCCAGCAGACACATACAGATTTCCCTTACAGATTCTGATCCCAGACTTAAGGAAGCAACAGAAGAGAATAAGAGTGAGCGATTATCAGCTATGAAGTAAGACGCCCTGCCCTATAAAGGTCTCGCTGACTCTTAAGGAAACCTGACCAGGAAGTGAAAATCTGAGGGAATGGGATGGGCTGGAGTTTGCTGACGTGACATAGAGTCAGCTACTCCAGGAATAAAGCTAAGGACCTCTCCCAAGCCAGGAGGGAAGAACCTGTCTAGGTCTTAATTCTTCTTTTTTTATTGTTATATGGGGAAGCAAATAAATCAAGGTTGTGAAATAGTGGCAATAGTGATAAATTGCATGATGTAATTTCCAATAACCAGGTAATTTGCCAGAAATTTAAAAACCTGTGCTATCTGAAGCCAGAAATAAAGCATAAAATGGTCACTGGTTTCTGGTTTATTTCTTACAGTCTCAGTTTGTTAGCTGCAGCTTATTTTAATTGCTAGGTAAGAGTAAGGGGCAGGATGTGCTGATGAAGAACCTCACCTGAGAGTTATCTAAATCTACCTCCACTGAGTAACGGCAGGACCACCCAAGTAACTGGTGCATGGTTTGGCCTCCATTTTTTTTTTTCATCTGCACCATTGCAATAATAATGTTTGTTAAAGTCATAGAAATATAATGAGGATGTACAAAAATAAAATATGGAACACACAGGTTATTCCACTTAGAAAGCTGCATAAGGTTTGGAAACTTGAAAACATAAATGCAAATAATTAACTAATCAAAATTTAAAAACACTGACACTACTGCATGGGTAGTTTGACTCCTCTTACAACTGTTCTCCCTTAAAATCCAATCCTACAAACCCCAATTACACCCCCAATTACACCCACAGCTATTACACTTATACTGGTATCATTCCTGGAAAGGGGTGATATACATCTTAAGAAATCTCACATTATATTCTTTTCCATTTTAATGCATTCCTCAAATGGGAGATATTAAATTTATTTTTGTAATGGGGTAAGAAATTTACTAACTTAAACTACATTTAACAGAAAATTGAGGTACAAAGAGTTATTAAGCACTGAGCTCTGCCCTGAGTAATAGTCTTAGCTGCATAATGACCAAGGGTATTCTTGAATAGGGTATGTTCAAAAACACCCACTTTGCAGAGTTGACCATCACTAGTTTTCCAGGTGACAGGAATATGAAGGTGAATATAAAGAAGCATTTTTCTTTTGTATCGTAAGGAGTTAAATGCAGAGAATATGAATCTGAGAAACAAATCACTGGTAAAGTGTTTAGTCATATTCTGATCAGCATGCCACAGGACCTTTAAATTATCACCACTTTTTATGCAATCTTCCAGAAACATAAGTCTAAATGAGTGTTTTATCAGATTTATAGCTTTGTTAGAAATTAACAGCTTAGACACTGGTCAGCCATGGAGCTAAGCCAATATCCTGCAGCTGTTCAATAAGAATACACAATAGTTTATTCTTCAAAAAATAATTTTGATCATTTAGGAACTATATTTTAATATATTTTAAATATAGTTTGGCATTTCCAAAGTCTTCTCATTTCAAAGACAAAATAATATTAAAACTTAAATAAACAGAAAGAATAAAAGCAGACCTGTTTTGGTTGAGGCTGTTTTAAGCCTGAAGACAGCATATATTTGCTCCATCTTTCTCCACTTCCTTTGCCTCCTAAAGTAAAATCCAAGAGACTCATATCCTGCACTATTAAAAGAGCCTGTTCTGTATTCATGAAAACTATTTCTGAATTTTTCTCTACTTAGGAGAGCTTTAATTATAACATAAAGGTCTCAGGTGTATAACATTAGAATTTTACATCCTAATTTTTCTGCATTATGATCTTGCCATATGAAGATATGAGGGGATTGTTTTAAGTAAGTCAGATTGAGAAAGACAAATACCATATGACTTTACTCATTCAAGATAAAGATAAACAAGCAGAACAAAACAAATTCCTGGACTGTAAGAACAAGTTGATGTATTAGACGTGTCTCCTGCTATATTAGGTAGATGACTGATCTACATGTTTAACATTAGAGTCCATATTTGATCAAATCCTCTGCTAATTTTTGGTCTTTGAGACCAACCAGGAAAATCTCAAATTACCACCCTTTGTTCTATTTTGTTTTTCAGCAATGAGCTCATCAACAGGGAAGCTAACTGTCCAAGCATGTAAGTCTAGTTAGCTTATGAAAAGAAGTTCAATTTCTACATCAGGATGGACATGTTCAATTAACTCATTCATTTCTCACATTTTCTTTGAGAGAGAATAAAAATTGGGCAAAGGATAAAATACTCTATTTTTTTTTTAACTCGCATTGATCATTCCATTATGTTCAAGAAAAATATTTCACATGGTGGAAATCTGGGACAATGTGAAGAAATTATACATTTCTTGTATGGAATAAATGAACTTGTTTTTTTCTAAATTTTAAAATGCTGTAAAATGTGCTTTTTGTTGGACATGAGAAATATATGAGGAGGCAGACCCCATTTCTATGGTCTATAAAATTCACTTTAATATATTTATTATCAAGGTTGGCAACAGCTCTACTTGCTGACTTCATATCACTGGAGTATGAAATTTGACTTTATAAAGGTGTTGATAGATTTTTTTATAAAGGTGTTTACATATTTGCCTCTGCATCTTGCTAACACATTTAATATTTTTATATATTCTTCCATTCAGTAATTATCTTTCTGCTAGTTGATAGAATATCAACTAGCAGAAAGTAGTCAAGGAGTTGGCAGTACTTGAGTGACGATGACCCTGTCTCTAAAATTAAAGAATTTGAATGTAGGGAAGGCACAATGAAATCAGGAAGTGATTATGATCAGTACTATGAGGACAAAGTATATATTGATCCAGGAGTCAATCAGAGGCAGCTAACCTGGTCTTGACAGGTCAGAGTGAGCCCTGAGCTAGGAGAGGCCATGGAGAGTTAGTGTCCTAAGGAGGAAAGTAGTATGTAAAAATGTCTTCACAAAGCAAGATATTAGTCATTTCTTGTCACTGGAAAACTTTAGTGTGGCTGAAAGAGAGTGGGGATTGGAGAGCATAGGAAAGAGCTATAAGTACTAGTGATCAAGGATGGCTCTGACTTCACTTGAAAGACTATTACGACTTACAGATGGGCTTTAAGCATTTCAGGAAGCTCACTCAGGTTGCAGTGTGAAGACCAACTTGGAGGAGTTAGACTAGAGGCAGGAGATGAACTGAGAAACGGTTGCAGTCCTCCAAATGAGAAAACAAAGTGGTAGTCTCGCTAAAGTAATGGGGAAATCCAAAATGGAACAGTTGAATTATGCACAATATTAGTGAAATGCATTTTCTTCTTTGACACCTATGAGTTGGAACAAGAACTGAGCCTATCATATTTTCTTTATTAGCACCATTCCCCAAACAGACTAAATTATTAGGAATCCCAAGCAGCAAAATAATCTGATCTGATTCACATAATAAAATATGTATTTACTCCCAAAAGTGAATTTGAGGTCTATAACCTCAAAAATGAGAGAATTTTCATGATGTATTAATTTTGTATATGCTGGGAACTATTCACTCTGAAAAATACAATGCAGAAAGGTTCCAACAAATGGAAAATTACTTGTGTGGCTAGAGGACATTGTTCTGGTGAGGGCTTGGTGTCAAAGTAACACTACTGGGGGTTCCTCCCTGGTGGCGCAAAGTGCTGTACTAGAAAGCTAACCATAGCCACTGCATCACTTGTTCAATCCCTAACCAGGGAGTGACCCACATGGTGCAGCAGAGCTCTCCTGTCTTGCCTGCTGCTCTCCTCAGCAGTGTATTTCAGCACATCCACCTTCTCTGTTCCCCACTGTCTTTGGTGAATCTGCTCACCACCACCCCCACACACCTCTGGCCTGTACCCCAGTTCTGTATGCATAAATAAATAAATCTTTAAAAAAAAACAAAGGTAATACCACTGGATCATCTAAAACTAGGAAACAATTTTAGTAAGAGTTCCTTATGTATCTATATAATCCAAGTCCTGATTTGAAATATTGTGGTATGTCAGCCCTTTGTAGTTTACCATAGGCAATATAGCCACATCTAAAGATGTGTTGCTGTTTTGTTCACTCACTGCATCTGAAAATAGAATGGACATTAATACTGTACATATTTACATAATGATTAATGCATACACCGTTTTGCTATACTTTTACTTGCTCTGTATCAAAAGTTTACAGAGACATTTCTTATACTCAATGAACTCATCTCTTTCAGGCTGTGGTAAGCGAGTTGTTCCATTAATAGTCAACAGAATAATGTCTGGCGATATTGCAGCGAAAGCTGCCTGGCCTTGGCAAGCTTCCCTTCAGCGCAATAACATACATCAGTGTGGGGCCACCTTGATTAGTAATACATGGCTGATCACTGCAGCACACTGCTTTAAGACGTAAGTTATTTATTTTAAATTGTACTTTACTACTGATTTTTTTAAATCTGAGTTTTTATATTCTGAGTAATGTTCCAAATATCATGGAGGGAAAATAAGAAAAAAATTATTTTTGGTTCTTTTTTAAATAATATTACACCTGTATATTTATTCAGAATTTAAGTAGTCATTATCCTAGGTATCTCTGTAAAGCAGATGGCAGAAAGACTTTAGTGCACAAAACATTGCCCAGATAGAAAGCTGGTTATAACTATGACCTTAGGCAAGTTACTGATTTGTTCTTGGAAAAAGATGGACCAGATTTTCTCAAGTTGCTTTAAAGTCCTAAAAATGTGATACTTAAATAAATTCTGTTTCACTGGAGTCTAAGTCTATATGTTAATACAGATGTGTCAAGTTAAAAATATATATATATGAGCATTCATTAGATTCAATATATTTGAAAGTACTGAAGTCCTGTATTGAGATGCCCAGTTAAAGATAGGACTGAATATCTCTAGTAATGATGAGTTTGCTAATTCCAAATTGGCCAGATTTTGTGGTACTTAACTTTTGCAAGTATCTATATAACAACTGGGCAACAATCTTCAGCCTACTAACTTTCACTCCCTAGCATTTGTCCTTTCATTTGAAACTTAAGTTCAAAGCTATTTCTTCAGTACAGTTATTGCTTAGATTATATTTTTAATTTGACTCTTATATGAGAGACTTTCCTAACTATATATAGCATCATATGTAAGATAAATATCACTATTTTATTTCACATCAATGTCTAGATGTCCTACTATCTTGGTTATTCCTTCTTGAGTGTTCAAGATTTTCTCAGCCTTATAACTTCGAAGAACTAAACACACTTCTTAACATAAAGATTATTACTAACATAATGAGTAAGTAAATTGGAAGCTTTCTGAAAATAAAAAGAATAATACAAATTGAATGATTAAGAGCTAAAGAACTCACTTTCAAAAAAATTTTAAATAGGTATTGAATTAATGAGATTATTTTTCATGTTCTGCCAAACATCTCAACTGTTCATCATATCCTTGACAGTATATTTTCTCAGTATTGCAGATAATGTAAACATTATGTTCAATAAACATTATGTAAACATTATGCGGGTAAGTAACACACGCTGGAAATGAAAATAATTGTGTGGCAAAAAAAATAATTTTCAAAAGAATTTTGTTCAAGTAATAAGAACTAAATGATTAATTTTAGTAGGTATAAGGCTCCAACTTCGGTTTAAAAAATCCAAGTATATCAGCACTAAAAGCACTATGTGCTTTTCAACATGTGGAAACTGCTTTGAAATTTTTTGTCAGAAGACAGTCAATTGTTCACAAAATTATGTTGTGATTTAGATTGCATTAAAAGAAATGCAGAACCCAAAGTAAATGGGATGCTAGATTTTCTATTGATCAGATTCTGCCTGGGATAGTAAGTTCTGTTTTGGCTTGGCACGCTTAGTGGAAACTTGACAAAATGAAATGCTCTTAGAGTAGAAATCTCAGGTAGTAAATAAAGATGAGAGCATACCCATACAGGCTTGCCATTTCAAGCATGGTGATCAAACTAGCAGTATGCACATCACTAGGAAATGTGTGAGACAAAAATCTCTGGCTCTGTCTCAGACCTATAGAATCAGAGGCTGCCTTTTAATAGGGACCTCTGGTTATTTCTATGCATGTTAAGTCTGAAAGACACTATGCTAAGACACCAAAAGTTTATCCTAAGAAGTGTGATAGACATGGTAGTTTCATCCATATACCTAAAGTGGTTTCATGTCCAAAAGAATTGGAGAATAAAAAAAAAACCCTGTGGGGCCCTCCCTGGTGGCGCAGCGGGTTAAAGCACAGCACTCAGAAGCTTAAGCCACTTCCGCATGAGTTCGATTCCCGCCTGCCCGGAGGAGATCCACATGGTGCGGCAGACCTCTCCTGACCCGCCCGCTGCTCCCCTCAGCAGTGTACTTCATAGATCTGCCTGTTCTGCTCCCCACTCTGTCTCTGGTGAATCCTCTCACCTTCTGCATCTCTGGCCTGTCCCCCAGTTCTGTACGAATAAATAAATAAATCTTTAAAAAATTAAAAAAAAAAAACCTGTCTAAAGTGAGAGCCACTCAAAGATTAAAGGGTTTCCAAAGTGAAGAAAGACATTAGGCAAAGAGGATGTCCTCATCTGCAGAAGGGCAGAAGGGCTTAAGTTTAGCACAGTCATCTCTTAAGATTTTTCTTGTAATAACAATCATTATTATTTACTAAGTTTCAGTATGCTGCAAGCATTTGGTTAGGGACTCTACTCCATTGCCTGGAGTAGAGTACAGGGGATACTTTACTCTTCACAGCTTCCACTGTTTGATTTATCCATTCATTCATTTACTGGCTTGTTTTACTTTTTCTTTCATTAAAATCATATACACTCACCAAATAAGGCACAACACATAGATATTCAGTAAATTTTTAGCTGTTGAGATTGTGTTGTGTTTTACAGTTCTAAAATTCAACTGCCGTTTATATATTCTGTTCACTTCTAACCTTTCCCAGTAACGCAAAACCACGTCATTGGACTGTTAGCTTTGGAACAACAATCAATCCTCCATTAATGAAAAGAAATGTTAAAAGAATCATTGTCCATGAACAGTATCGCTCCCCAGCAAGAGAGTACGACATTGCTGTTGTACAGGTCTCTTCTCGAGTCACCTTTAGTGATGACATCCGCCGAGTTTGTTTGCCTGAAGCTTCTGCATACTTCCGACCAAACTTGACTGCCTATATCACGGGGTTTGGAGCGCTTTTCTTTGGTGGTGAGTATCTCAAAACAAGTAGACCGCTAAGCCTCATTGAAGACAACATACTTTAATTTCCATCAATCTTATCCTATCAGTCATTTGCACAGTGGGTTGGAATATTTGTGCCTCTTGTTTTAAATTTATATATTAAAGATTTATTTATTTATTCATACAGAACTGGGGTACAGGCCAGAGTTGCGGAGGGTGAGAGGCTTCACCAGAGACAGAGTGGGGAGCAGAACAGGCAGATCATGGAAGTACAATGCTGAGGGGAGCAGCGGGCGGGTCAGGAGAGGTCTGCCACGCCATGTGGTCACCTCCGGGGCAGGCAGGAATCGAACTCATGCGGAGCGGCTTTAGATTCTCAGTGCTGTGCTTTAACCCGCTGCGCCACCAGGGAGAGCCTGTGCCTTTTGTTTTAAAGGGACTAAAATGCCACTCAAATTACTTAAGCAAAATAAAAAATGACCAACTTGGCCCTTGTAATGAGATGAAATGAGTCTGGATTTAGACATAGTTCAGTTCATGATTTTGCATGATATAAGCTCTAAAAGAGGAGCAAGATTCTCTCAATTTTTCCATTTCATGAAATTTGTCCCTAGATCGCCTTCAGATGGAATGACTCTAGCGCCACATAGTGGCAAAAGGAACCAACAGCAACTCGGGATTTACATCTGCTCCTACTATAAAATGTCCTGCTCTTCTCCCAGATTCCACATTAATCCCTGAAAAAAGCCTCTTTTGGCCTCACTTGAGTCCAAAAGTACTTGGAATGACTGGCCCATTCAAATGCTTATACCCCTGTATATTAAAAACGGCAGGGGTATCATTGGCAGCCTGGGCAGGTTCACATAGGATGAAAGAAAGGCAGATTCAAAAATGGGAGCTCAAGGGAGATTTTAAAAGAAGTGACTGTTTCCACAAGCAACACAAAAGCCTTTTTTTTTTTTTAAAGATTTATTTGTGCATACAGAACTGGGGTACAGGCCAGAGACTCAGGGGCGGTGAGAGGCTCCACCAGAGACAGAGCAGGGAGCAGAACAGGCAGATCAACGAAGTACACTGCTGAGGGGAGCAGCGGGCGGGTCAGGAGAGGTCTGCCGCGCCATGTGGATCTCCTCCGGGACAGGCGGGAATCGAACTCATTCAGAAGTGGCTTTAGCTTCTCAGTGCAGTGCTCTAACCCGCCGCGCCACCAGGGAGGGCCCACAAAAGCCTACTTTAATATGCCATGCTCAGTGCATGTACCTCAAATATGCTGTAATCTTCATGGCCACCTGCAACCCAAGACTCTCCCTCACTTTGAGTCCTATCTCCCTATCTTTTTCATTCCACCTCCCAATTTTTTGCTCCGTCCCTTATTTTCTTTTTCCTTGATCATTTCACAAGTCTTTATTTTGCTCCGTTACAATCTCCACTTGCATCAAAATCTGTGTCAGGACTAGAGACTAGTTTAAATAATTCCAGAAAAAGAGATACAACTGTATAAAGATTAATCTCTGACAACACAGTTCCCAATGCCCATTCTAATGATTTTTCTTGGTACACTAACCTAATCTCCTAAGAGATAAAAATTTCATTTTTAGGATTTTTTTGGGGGGGTGGGGGTGGGAGGCCTCTAGTCTAGGCACATTCACATAACAACTAAGTTTTCTTTTGTTTTTACTCAAGAACCTTCCTGAGAATTGCAAAATCCATCACAGATCCTCACATAATTTACTTACAGAAATACTAATGAAGACACATTCAATTCTTTCATTAAATATGACCCATGGCAGGTTTTGGTCTCTAGATTATGTTCACATATCCTACATAGTCTTGTCCCTTAGTATACACATTGGGATATTTATTGCTTTCTGTAAGGCTGAATTACCAATCACAGAATATATTTTCTATAGTTTATAATCCCTAAGGTTGGCTGAGCAGAGCTATAAGTCTGTTATCTCTGTCTACACTCTGGTGGCTTTCTCCTATGCCAGGGTTTATATTCACCAGTTCATGATGATGGAAGGGATCTCTCAGATCCCTGTTGGCATGGTGGGAAAATCATTTCAACTGTGAGTTTAAATTGGCACAGAAGTATAGAAGCCCAATACTTTCTGAGTAGCAAAGGAGTTAAAGTGACATACATACAGAACACTACATCTAACAATTGTGTAATACTCCTTTTTTTCAAGTTTTCATGGAAAATGAACCAAGATCCATATTATCTAGATCCATAAACAAACCTCACGAAATTTAAAATAAGTGATTTTAAAATATGTTCTGACCACAGTGGAAGAAAATGTAAATCTGAAAGATAATGGAGAAACCTTCAAAAGCTTAGAAATTAAACAACACGCTTCTAATTCGTCCATAGGTTAGAGAGATTTAAGTAGCACAGAACTGAATAAAAATGGAAAAATATGAATATATACTGGACACAGAAATAGAGAAATGGAGCAATAAAAATGCTAAATAAACAAGAAATTTAGAGAAAAATAAAAGTGAAAGAAAATAGTGTTACTGGGAAAAAAAGTAGATTGTTGACAAAGAAATCAGTAATATATCATCATAATCAAGATACATTTCAGGGTTGTCCCGAATTTATGAAGTAGACTCTGTCAGCTGGGTTTTTAAAAGTTATGAATTTACACTGTCACATACAAGATATAGATTATCACTTTCACTTTACCCTTTCTGGTACCAAACATGATTTTTTTTATAATAATGCAGTGTGCAAAAAAAGAAATTATGTTCAATTATATTCAAAGAACAGAATAACCTGAGCAGTTTTTATAAGTTTTAGTAAATAACTCTCCAGAAATAAATCCTGAATTGTTATTCTGAAGAAATTGCTCTTTGTATTGTTTTCCTACAGATATGTAACATTACACCAATTTGAAAGCTAAAAACAGCACCCATTTTTTTTTTTTAATCTCTTAGTTTCTGTGGGTCAGAACTTCAAACACAGCTTAGTTGGGTTCTCTACTCAGGGTCTTATAAAACTGCAGTCAAGGTGTCCACTGAGGGTATAGTTTTGTCGTGGCTCCAGGTTCTCAAGGTTGTTGAAAGAACTCAGTTTCTAGCAATTATAGAACTCATAGTGGATTGGGACACAACACTGCAAGCTAGCCTCAGCCACTTCAGTGCAAGTTCATTCCCCTGCCCCAGAAGTGACACACATGGCGCAGCAGACCTTTCATGTCTCACCTTCCGCTCGCCTCAGTTTGCCTGTTCTGCTCCCCACTCTGGTGAATCATCTCAATACCCCTGTACCTCTGGCCTGTATCCCAGTTCTGTATGCATAAATAAATCTTTTAAAAAAAAAAAAAAAGAACTCCTAGTAACTGCATCTATAATGCCATTAGGAAAATGTCATGAATTGAGGAAAGACCTAAACCTTTTAAAATGATTTGCCTGATTCAGTCAGGTGCACCTTAAATAATCTTCCTAATGAACTCAATGTCAAAGTCTTTAGGGCTCTGAATCACATCTGCATAATGCCTTTACTTACATAACAAAACCTACTCATGAGAATGACAACCATCATATTCATAGATTATACTTGTAATTGAGGGGGAAATGAGATCACACAGGAGGCTTGGCCATGATATCCTGCCTGCTATGGCTTCCTGATTACTGTATGTTTGATCTTGTAAAAAAAAAAATCACTGAATGTGTGTGATGCCCTTGCTTTCAAACATAGGTAGTAGTTTTCTTGCCATAACGTTGCTTTCTACAACTAGTGATGTAACTCAAATCTAGAATACCAATCTTGTAATACATAAGAAAACATTGTTTTTAAATGTCATTAAGTATGTAAAAGCTTTTTTTTAACAATATATAAAGGATAAAACAAATATACATAATCCTATTGTTATTTTACAAACCAAGGGAGTAAGCTATCTAGATCCCCAATTTTTGGGTACAATGTAGAGTATACAAATACAATTAAAAACATGGAATGTCTTCCTAAAAAAACCAATTTTGCTAAAGTAAAACTACAAAGATTGTCCAGAAAAAAAAGAACAAAATGTTTTTCTTGCTTGCAGAAATATTCATAATAACAATATGATCAGGATGACGATGTTAATAACCACTGACATGTGCTAGATTTTAAACCAGATTTTTCTCTAGAAGCAGCAGACATCATTACCTTGTTTTATACTGATAATTTTAATTCAAAAAAGATAATAAAGTCCACTTACTTCATTCTAGCTAAAGATGCTGATTACAAACATTAAAACTATTTCTCTTAAGGGGAATCCCAAAATGATCTTCGAGAAGCCAGGCTGAAAATCATAAGTGATGATCTATGCAAGCAACCACATGTGTATGGCGATGATATAAAATTTGGAATGTTTTGTGCTGGATATATGGAAGGAATTCATGATGCCTGCAGGGTAGGTGAAGAGCAATTACTTTGTTAAGATCCAAACACAAATGACAAAAGGGTTGGAATTGCTGATATGAAAGACAAAAACAAAAGTCTCTGCTATTTTAGCTCAAATTTGTGATGCTGCTATTTCCAATTAAGGGTTTAATTAAAAAGAACTATCATTTGTTGTAACCACTGTACAAACAGCAGCTACACTGATTTAAGGTCTATCCCAAGATGGCATTCAATTACTGAAGAACACATATGGTTGAGTCTGGCAACATTGTTCTAGAAGTTTCATAATTTAAATTCCAATAATTGGAAACACGCAGTTTAACAAAATTAGGTTAGAATTGTCGTAGGTCACATTTTTACTCATTCTGTTTATTCATTCAAAGAAAATGCTTGTTAAGTGTGGCCAACTGTGTGTCATTCACTGTTCCAAGTACTTGAAATACAATCTTGTGTAAAAATCTGCATGTAACTTACTTTCAATGAAATTGCATTAATCAAAGTTATACCATGAAAATTAGATAAATCTTGGAAGGAAAAGACTATGGTCCTTTGAATATATACAAGAAATAAACATGACTAGCAGGGGTGAAGCTGGGGGTAGCTAGGGTGGAGGAGTAGGAATTAACCACAAGACTGCAAATGCATATGTGAAAGTCCTATGATTAGGGGGTGAGTATAAGAATTGTAGGAATTGAGAGAAAAATCATGTGAAACAGAATGCATTGGGTCCAGTGTACAGCGTCAGGCCAGTCGTTATGAAGGGCCTGGTCACGCAGGGTCTTGAAAGCCACCATAACTTTGTTTTCTTCTTTTCCACCACTGTATTATACCCCACTGGCCCTTTCCCCTATTTTCTTTCCCCTCCTTAACCTCAGAGATCCCACTTCCTTTATTCGTGCGTAGTTTTTATAAGTATTTTTGTTTTGCCTATTTCTACTCTATGTAAATGTCCAACACTTGTCATTCTGAACTGCTTAACTACATTTAATTTCCTAGAACCCCTTCCATTTTGCTGTACAATGAATGGCAACATTTCACCTTTCCTTATGGCTGAGGGTGTCCCACTGTGTAGCTCATACCATTGCTTCTTTATCTAAGCCTCTATCAGTGAGCACTTAGATTGCTTTTGTGTCCTTGCTATCATAAATAGTGCTGTAATAAGCATTGGAGAGCATATAATTTTTGAGCTAATGATTCATGTTCTTTGGATGGATGCCCACAAACAGAACTGCTGCGTTATATGGTATTTCCATTTTTACTGTTCTGAGGTAAATCCCTTTTGCTTCCAAAAAGGCTGTATCAGCTTATAGGAAGCTGACAGGAAGGTCCCTCTTACCATGCATTATCTCCAAAACTTTTTGTTGGAGTCTTTTCAGCGTAAGCCTTTCTCACAGTGTGTGACAGTATCTCATATCTAACTTACATCCCTTATTAAAAATGATGACTCGGCCCTCCCTGGTGGCGCAGCAGGTTAAAGCACAGCACTGAGAATCTAAAGCTGCTTCCGCATGAGTTCGATTCCCGCCTGCCCCGGAGGTGACCACATGGCGTGGCAGACCTCTCCTGACCCACCCGCTGCTCCCCTCAGCAGTGTACTTCATCGATCTGCCTGTTCTGTTTCCTGCTCTGTCTCTGGTGAAGCCTCTCACCACCCCTGAGCCTCTGGCCTGTTTCCCAGTTCTGTATGCACAAATAAATAAATCTTTAAAAAAAAAAAAATGATGACTCATATTTTTTTCATGGCTTCAGAACATGCTCTTTGTGAGTCAATTATTCATATTTACTATTATTGACTATTGGCTTTCTATCTTGCATACTAACCCCTTGTCAGTTGTGTCAAAGGATACTAACCTTCATTTAGAGGATGAATGAGCTCTGGGAATCTAATGTACAGCACAGTGACTATAGCTATTAATACGGTGTCTTGTTATTTGCTAAGTGCTAAGAGTACTTTGAACTTAAGAAGAAACCTTAAGTACTTTGATTACACAAAAAGTAGCTGTGTGAGACAATGCGCATGTCAGAGAATGAAAGGCAGTCATCATTGTACAATGAATACTTGTCAAATCATCACATTGTATACTTTCAATATGTGTAATTTTATTTGAAAATTACACCCCTTCTGGTTGAAAAAAATTAAAAGTAAAATTAAAATTTAACCCCTGGTGGCTCAGAAGCTAAAAGTCTCAGGGCTATCAAGAGATCACCAACCACTGCAGCATGCAGTGTTAGTTCTATCCCTGGCCAGGAAGCTAATCTACATGGCACAGCAGATATCTCCTGCCTGGCCTGCTGCTCCCCTCAGCAGTGTATTTCAGTAGATCTGATTGTTCTGCTCCCTACTTTGTCTCTCGTGAATCATCTCACTCCCCTACCACTCTGGCCTATACCCCAGGTCTTGTTTGCATAATTTTTTTTAATCTTAAAAAATAATAAAATTTAAAATTGAATTTTATGCTTTACAACTTTTGAAATTAATGTTTCAACTATTTACTATTTATTGACTCTGTATGACTAAAAATAAATGTATAGTTCATTAGAATATCTTTAGCAATAATTCATTTTATTTGGCTAATTTTCTTTTTTTCTTCTTTTTTGACTTTCAGGGCGATTCTGGGGGACCTTTAGTTGTAAAGGATTCTAAAGATACTTGGTATCTCATTGGAATTGTGAGTTGGGGAGATAACTGTGGTCAAAAGAACAAACCTGGAGTTTATACAAAAGTTACTTATTACCGAAAATGGATTGCTTCAAAAACCGGCCTCTAGTTCACTATAAAAGCTTAATATCAAAACTGTATGCAGGCCATACAGGTATGAGAATTGAAATTTTCAATGGATGAAGTAAAATGAAATGAGGTTCACTCACTGACTAACAATATGAGACCTATGACATAACTAATTTTAGGAACATTTTAATAAACCACCACTACTCATAGTCAATTTGTAAGAGATTTAAATTTACAAATGGGTCAATTTAGCCTGGTTTGAAAAATATTGCAGAGATATTCACCTATTTCAGTGAGAAGCAATGTAAATTTTTGAGGGTAGTTGTAAGAATTTTAGAATGTCTATGTCAGGGATGCCCCATTAAGTGAGAAACTTTGTAAACTCACAGAGTTCAGGAAATGCTTTCATAATTTCTATTATTTGTTCAGGTTCAAAAATACTTCCCCCTACCCCTTATCCTTCTGTGTTTCCTAGAGATTTTTCCAGCATAAAAAGTATATTCTCTATGTATAAGCCCACTAGCATGATCTTCATTAGAAATTACAAAGTAACAAAGTATGGTAATAAATGAGGTCAGATATGTCCTAACCTTTTTCTGTAATGAAACCTAATTATTTTCACTGATACACACAACTGCTGTATATATACATACATACACACATTCAAAGAAAGTCAAGTTAATTAGTGAATATATATTACCTAACAATAATTATTTTGTTACAAATATTTGGGGGGGCTATGGCCACATAAAACAATGGTTACCAAAATAATTGACATTCTATAGATGCATTTACATGTTTGGACCACCAGGAGGTAGCTTTGTACATCATTACTGTAAGGTTAAAAATCTAGAAAAACCTGAGACTATGTTGATACACTGAAAAAAAGTTTATTTTCTTGTACTGTCCAATTATACCCTACAATTTGTAGCAGTAATATATTGTTGCAACCATGAAATAACTGAAAAATTTTTTAAGCATCAATTTTGACAACTTACCATACAGAATTTATGATCAAAGTGATCTAAAAGAGCAAATAAACCACTAAATGTCTAGAGTCAGTCTCATATTCCAAGATAGAATTAAATGAAGACATGGTATAGACTGTCTGACTACTCCAGCTATTAAATATTATTAATTCTCACTGGACAGTCATATACTCGTGCTATTAAAAGATATACCAAACTGGGCCCTCCCTGGTGGCGCAGCGGGATAAAGCATAGCACTAAGAAACTAAAGTCACTTCAGCAGAGTTCAATCCCCAGCCATGGAGGTGACCCACATGGCACAGCAGACCTCTCCTGACCCACCCGCTGCTCCCCTCAGCAGTGTATTTTGTCAATCTGCCTGTTTTGCTCCCCACTTTGTCTCTGGTGCAGGCTCTCACCACCCCTGTACCTCTGGCCTGTACCCCAGTTCTGTATGCGTAAATAAATCTTTAAAAAAAAAAAAGTTATACCAAACCACTAGAAAACAGTTACTTTGTAATAATACCTTCCTCCCCCCTGCTATTGAGAAGGCATGAAAATAGTCCTAACATAATCCAAGAGATTTGTAAATTATTAGCCAAAAAATTGACTCATAATTTATATTCATTAATTTGGAAGCTTAGGAAAGACTGTATTAGTCACGCAACCAAGATACTTATTGTAGAGAAGCTGAAGCCAGGAAACATCAATGATTTGACAAAGCTATCGATAGTTTTTATCCCCATAAAACCTAAAAGCAAGTACCAATTTCACATACACTTTCCTTACAAAGTATCCTCATAGTCACCTATGTTTATTAAATCATCCTATCTATAAAAAAATTCAGCAAGTACTATTGAATCTATTTTAAATTAGGAACTCTTCAGGGAAGATTTCTAAAAGCTGTGATTCACTTAGGCAGCTGGCTGCCAATTCTATGGACTCCTTAAGATAAACTTGCTATGTCATATATAAAAATATACTTAGACCTATAAGTTATTATATTGTGGTGGTAATATAATTGACTTTCAATGTTAAGATTCCAGATGATCTTAGCATTATGAACTGTATTTCTAAACTGTTTTGTGCAGCATTTTATTCTGGGTTACATGTAAACAAAAATAATCATTTGAAATCTAATAAAGTTGGTTATCAGAGCATTAACAATAGCACATCTGTGTTAGGCCAAGAGCATAAATCTTTCTTTCATCTGCTATGAAGACATACATTTCTCCTATATAATTACTTTGGGTCACTCTGATGGGTATCTCAACCTTGGTGTTTTTGATATTTTGGCCTGGATAGTTCCTGGATGGTAGGGAGCCCTGCAGCAGACACTGACTTTCTACTCACTAGAAGCCTGTAACACACTCCTGCCCCTCCACCAATTAGGATAACCAAAACCTACCTCTAGACATTGACAAATGTCCCATAAGGAATGAACTTACCCCTTCTTATATATTTAATCATTTTCAGGAATGAGAAATAACTCAAAGGTTTTATAGCTAGTTTTTAAAAACTTTTATCTGATTAAACAGTATTCACTCTCATGTGCCTATAAGAAATAGCAGAATAAATGGTTGATTGTACAGTAGTGGATTTTTCAAAAACAGACTGATCTCCCCTAACACCATGGGGGAGAAGACTTCAATCATTGACCTACCCAGAGTATATTCACAGAATGTCATTAACCACTGTCATGAAAACAGGTTTTAATAAATAACGCTAGTAGAGATTTTCTATTTGACCACAGTCTATCATAAAAAAGATACTTTACACCATAGTTCCATAAATACATAACAAAATTCATATATTTTAAAAAAGAAATTTCATAAGGTATAACTCTGCTAAATGCAGTAAGAAAAGTTTATTCCTTTGTATTGCACAATTATCCCCTATGGTTTATGGCTGTAACTTACTGTTGCAACCATGAAATCATCAAAAAATTGTTTTAATAAGCACCAATTTTGAGAACTTAGCATACAAATTTATGGTCAAAGATCTGAACAAGCAAATAAACTCCCTAAATAACTAGTGAAGACATTACTGTCTTTTCATCCAAAGGCCTTCACCAATCTGCTTAATTCCCATGTGTCATATTATCTATAAATCTGTGATTATTTTCTTGTGATTAAGGCCATTCCTTATTAAATGTGCCTAATAAGAGACAATAGGTTAAACTAAAACCCATAAACATAACTAATTTCTAAAAGTTCACAGAAAGGAAGTTGAACTTCAGAAAAATAACTGATACTATGTTTGTAAATTTAATAATGACTGTCCTTTAGTTTTCATTAGGAATCAAGATTTAGCTGTTAAACCAACTTTTAAATCTTTCGATGTTTTACAAAGTTAGGAAATATATGTACTCTCATTTTCACTGCAGCACTATTTATAATATCCAAGTTATATAAACAAGCAAAACTCATCAACAGATGAGTAGATTAAGATGTGATGTATATGTGCAGTGCTAGCTTTCAAAATTGAGCAAAGACCCACTTCTGCAGACTCAGAAGGCTCAAAGGAAATCTTAATAATTAAAATCTTCAGGGTATCTGGCCACATCCCACATGTCAGATCCCAGGTTTTCTCAGCTGGGTCTGACTTTGGAATAACAGATCTGCCTTTGTTGGGCATTCAACCATCATTCAAGTTCAGCCACTTTAACTAATCCTGTGCTTTATATGCAGTTTTTCTTGCTTACCTACTACATGTGATGAGGGCTTCCTAATATTTACCAAAAAGAATCTGAATCTCATACTGACTGTATGTTCTGTTAATTAGCGTCAACTTTTCATTACCCAACTTTGAGTACATAGGTAGCCTAGTGGCAACTATGCAATTCCACTGTCTTCTTACCTTTCAAGACATATGGATGAACACATTGGGACTTGGTGTTAGAGAATTTCAAAATATTCAAATTAGGTTTCCAAGGAAGAGTTTCCCTTACAAATCCCTGGTAACCCTAACTTCCAGGAATGGAGTTGCCTGACAGCTATGATTAATGACTCCAACAAAAGTAACATACCAAAAAGAATCAGTGGCAGTTCTTGCAGGAATACAGGTCATGGGGGCCTAGGATTCCCTCAAAGGAATATTTCTAAATCCTTAAAAGTATGCTTGAAATTTAGTAAATAAAGTACTTTGTCTTTGTGTTAACACTTTCCTAGAAAATTGGGCACAACTAGAAGTCCCTGAATGTACTCAGAAAGGAAAATGCTTGACATGAAGACATAGGAAAACCTTGACAAAACTAACCTATAGGAACTTTCAAGTTATAAAGCAGCTTTCTCAGGACTAGTGAATTCCTAGAGACACCAAATGATTCCCCTTGTGGGTGTGCTTTTCCTATGCAAACCAATACAATCCAGTGCTTCGCCCTAACTTCCTTACTTTGGTTTTTCATTCTGGTTCTATTCATCTGCCAAATAGTTTACCTACTCCAGAAAGAGAAACTATACAACTAGGGACAGTACTTATATCACAGATCCCAGTAAGTCTAATTAGTCAATCCTAAACCTGCTTATCCTGTCTCATCTGTTCCTTCCCATAGATATCACAATGAAGACTCTTGCGCATAGTGCTTCCTTTTGCTAACTGACTCTAATATTTCCTCATTTGGCACTGATGATGTGATCTTCCTTTTGGGAACTGTGAATAATAAGTAATCTTTTATTACTTTATTTCAGGATCTCTTGACCTCACCACACATACAGAAAAAATAAACGTTAGTCCCCCACCATCATTCATGTGCTCTCCACATGTGTTCTAGACCTGGGCTACACTATGGTGACTGCATCTGCAAGCAGGGAGGCAGGCAGTGCTATGCTCACAAAATACTAATATCTATGTAAATCAATAAATACTTCAATAAGATAATAAATTAAACAAAACAATAAAAATAAATTTTAGAACACAGGTGTTCATACTGTACCACTGAGCATGCAG